TTTGGAATCTAGTTTGCATTTCCACCAGCGATAGCTAATGGCAAGGTGGTCAGTTTGTGTCCACAGCTGGCTAGGTGATGGGGGTCTCTAGGTGGCGCATTGGCGCCAAGATCCCCGAAAACTAGTGCTCGACAGAAACAGGCCGTGTTCGGCGCAAAGCTGAAGTAGTCCATCACTGTTGTCAGTACTGCGAGTTTCATGGCCGTGTTGACGACCGAGTTCACTTTCGTCAACTTTAAGTCTACCGAACTGCGCGTTCAAGTCTCCGGTGTGCGCCACGATGTCAGTACGGCACTTTTTACGGTGGTCGACCAGTTGACCATAGAACTCATCTTTAACTGTGGGAGCGTACGCTGCGACAATGAATAGAGTGTCCGCTATCTTCGCGCCTGTACAGTCGGATCGCGCATAGTCGACTGTTAACAGGGATCCAGTCTAGTAGCGCGGCGTCAGCACGTGTGCTCAACGCTATCCCCACGCTAGCATAACCAGCTGCTTCGGCGGTTGCGTCGCCACATAGGCGCGAGATGAAAATGCCAGTGGAATTCGCAGACGGGGAAACTAGTCGCACCGTCGTGCTAGAGTCATGTAAACGGGTCTCGCTGAGACAGCAGACATCAATGGCCGTAGTTTCTAGATTGCGAGCAAGGGCTGCCTATGATCCAATCTGCATCAGCGTCCGAACATTGAAGGTTGCCAGCTTGAATTGGGAACGAGGTGCTAGAAATGGCTTGTCAATACGACTTGGCGCATCTTCGGACCTAGGCTTCTGATCCGCATAGCGAGAACGTTCGCCTAAGGCGACACGAAGTTCTGAACACGAAAACGGATGGGGAAAACCAAGAATGGGGAGTTGAACAAACGCGGAATAAAGTGACTAAACGGTGGTGCGGTAAAAGGTGGTTTGGCAGGTTCAGCCACCAGCACATCGGCCGATGAGGGCAGTTTAAGAGAGTGAGAGCAGTTAGAGCGAGAGCGGAGAGAACGAGCGAAGAATTGTTGAGACATGACTCCATAGGTTGTTTGGGCATAGTACTTCCCGTTTTCCCAGGCCGAAGCAAAGGGTTGACTTAGGGGGTTGTGTTTGCAACGATGATGAGCATGAGCGAGCCCTAGATAGTGATAAACAGGCTAGTTCCTTATAACAGTATATAACACTGCACAAGTTGCGTTAGCTTGTGCACGTACTACGTATACCCGGTCACCTCTTACCCAAGAGGGCTTTGTTTTGTTTGCCAGATGTAGGGCGGTGCAACGCCCAAGGTGGGCAAAAGTTAGCTTCGCAGCGAGAAATGAAGTCATCGACGACCAAACTTAGTGCCGTCAGTGCGTCTCACTTTCGAGGCTGGAGTCTCGTCTTGTGCTTGTCTCGAAACCTTACTGGACGTGGTCTGCAGTCTACACCAGTGATGCTTACGCTGCCGCTTCCTAGTCGGACTATCTGTTCAAAGTGTGTTTGGTACTGAGTTACCTGCCAGGTAATGGCTGTTTATAACGCGTGACAGTTAAAGATACAGGGAATCTTTCTCACTGATGTCGCCTTATCTTTTCACGATAGCTAGCTGTTTGTGACTATGTTATTGACAGAAGGTGTAGGCGTCTTGAACTTGAATGTTTGTTTTGGGCATTACGCTTTCCGGTAAGTCTTCCTAATCACCTTCTTATTGTTCTTCGTTCCGTAAGTCATCATGGTTGTACGCAGCAAAGCTACAGTTTAAATGTCTAATGTACTGCTGTTGGTGATAGTAATGCCTTTCCTGATATGGTTTTCGGGACCGGCCTTATCAGCTCTTGGACGTCTTGTCACTGTTAGCGGCGTACTTGTATTCACCCCCTCACCTCGGGCCCTGGACTGTACTATCCAACGATGTGAATTGTTGTTCATTTCTTAAGTTATCTATTATTATTGCCACGATTATTTTTGTGACTTTTGTCAAGGCAGTTGGGTTCTCCGCATCTCGTACGCTGATCAAAGTTGCTGAACTGAACCGAAATCACGCAACCGCGTCATCCGGCCTATTTTCTCTCTGTGTTTCTTCAACACCGCTTGACTCGGCTCCATGGTAGAAAGGGATTAGCTATCTACTAAACGATCGGATCGCGTTGATGCTTAATGACTGCTTGGGTCAAGATTCTGACTGATTTTGGACCTTACTCTACCGTGCTCGGCTAAGCTCTCAGCGAAACGACTGCACCCAGAACCTGACTTCTATTTTCTGTTCCATTTAATGAGAAGAGGTTTTTGTTATTTTGGTCATCGTCTTGTTTTTGTTCCCCTTTCCTCTGCTTTTCGCCGCTTTTATTTTACATTCATCGCTATACTGCGGTTGTTGAGTCGTCATCTGTTAGGGAGACCAAACTGAATGTCTTTATATGAAAAAACGTTTGCACCAATTCAGCTGGCTTTTGGCACTATCATCATCGTCATCATCATCAACAACAGTACATCAGCCATTTGAACTGATACTTTGCTGCCATACAACCAAGGGAACTAATGAAATAAAGAAAAAGAAGAGGGACTTAAATAGAAATCTTAATGCCCTAAGCAAACATTCAGGGTCAAGGCGCCTATACCTTGTGTAGACAACATACCGTCACAAACAGCTGGCTATCGTACAAAGATAAGGCGGCATCGGCGAGACAGCACGCTTGCGGCTTTCACTGCTACGCATCATAATCAGCAATTACCCCGCAGATAACTCAGCACCAAACACACTTTAAACAGGCAATCCGATTAGGAGACTGCAGCAGACGCGACACTGGTGTCGGTTGCGAGCCATCTCCTGTAAACTCGCGAGCCAAGCACAAGTCGCGTCACGTGGACTCCAGCCCTAAAGGCGAGACGGACCAACGGCACCCAGTTTGGTCGTCAGTGACTTCATTTCCCGCTGCCAAGTCAACTTCTGTCTACCTCGAGCCTTGCGCCACCCTACAGCTGGCAGACTGAACAAGGCCCTCCTAGGTAAGCAGTGACCAGACATACATAGCACGTGTCCGAGACAACGCAACTTATTCAGTGCTATCTGTTGTTCTAGGAAGCTAGCGTGATTATCACCACCTAGTACTCGCCTACGCACATCCTCATTGCGGACACGCTGGTGTCATCCGACACCAGCAATGCTTCGCAGATAACGATGATCAAAGACTTAATGGCGCCTCAGATCTTCAGACCGAAGCGGCCAAGTCTCACTACCATACAGCAGAACGGCCCTCACTGTGGTCTTGTATACACGGCCTTTCAGACGGAGGGAAACTCCCTTCTGTCGCCAAAGATGCCGCAGGTTCAAGAAGACAGTGCTAGCCTTTGCAATGCGTGAGCTGACGTCAGTTTCTATGCGCCCGTCGTTGCTGATGCAGCTGCCAAGATAAGAGAATTGAGCAACCACCTCGAGTTCCTCGTTAGCAAGCGTCAAGCGGTCATAAATTGGCAGGTGGTCTTGCAGCAACACTTTGCACTTTGAAGGTGCGAAGTGCATACCAAATAATGGGACCACTCTAGACAGACTATTCCGGGTTGATTGTGCGGCCGCAACATGGTCACGAAGTAAGACGATATCGTCCGCATACTGAAGATCAACACCTACATCGTGAGATTCCGCAAGGGAACACTCCATGATAGAATCCACGACGAAATTGAACAAAAATGGGGAAATCGGACAACCCTGACGAACGCCACTTGTGGTCGGAAAGCCGTAGACCCTAACGCGGCCTGTAGTGTTGGAGTACTGAATACGAATTGTGTTCACATATTTCGTGGGAATACCTTTCCGCGCATGCATTTCTAACAGAATCGGTCTATCCGAGCTAGAGACGGATTCCAAACATGAATCGTTTTCGCCTTATGGCAACTCATTCATGCACTATAAATATTTACAGCACCCCATTCAACTGCTTGATTCAATGTCACTCACACTATTTCCCTCTGTGGCGCGACCCTATTCACTCACACATCGCTCATTGTATACTTTCTTATCCTCATAAATTATTACTGCGTTAGGGTTAATCATTAGTGCAGTTGCTCGAGTATAGTGCGAATTCTGATACATCCAGATGTCCTTCTTTTCATTAGGCGTATATCAAGACCTCTATTTTTTAAGACGGACACTTCTAGCCATCTGCCTGCTTTTGCCGTGTCCATTCACCCTTCGAGATACTTGGGTGGATTTCGTATATTTTCCTTGAACCCGACACACTGCTTGAACTTTCATCCCCACAAATTCGCTCCCAACTCACATGTATGTTCACTGCAAAGGAAGCCACTCGGGTTATCAGCTCCATCTGCTTATTGTGCAATGAACCGACTTACGATTTTTGTTTTCTCTTTATATACCAAGCATCGCTTCCTATTATTGGTGTCTTTCCCTATTCTTGTCATTCTTGGTTTCCTTTCTGCATTGATTGCTCAACTTACGCCTTAGTTGTCTATGATCAAGGTTTGTTTATGTGTTATACATTTATACGGCTGGCTTGCCCAACAGCCTGCTTGTGGTGGCAGCTGGGCAGTTCAAGGTTGTCTCGTTTTAGCTAATGGTTCGGCGAAAATGTTTCACAGTGGATTTTCGCCTGGTGAATGTTCTCCCTACGAAGGTCACCAATGTCTGTCTAGCCATACAGTGACATGGCGGATGTGACTCGTTACTAAATTAACTCGCTGCCCTTTATTCCAATCTGGAACCCTCCTGTTTAGTAACCGACTCAACTGGGCAGTCATCGGCTTCCAGCGAGCGCGATTCCCTGAATTCGCCTAGTTGGCTTGCAGGTAGACTATCCAGCCATAACAATCGGGGTGGTGCCCCCCAAACCAACTCCCTATTTCGGCTTAGGCAACCGGATAATGTTGCGCCTTCTAGCATGACCTTGAATTTCTCTCTTATGTTCGGACAATCTTACAATAGCCTCACTTTCCATGATTTTTGCTAGCCCCGTGTATGTAGACCGATGAAAAATGTTCACACCCTCAAAATGTCACCATTCCATCTAGTTGACCTATTTATATTGTAGGGAGACCCAATTCTGATGTGCCTCCGCGGTAATTTACAACTCAACATTCGTTAGTTTCGGCTCTCAGATCTAGAAATTTGTTCGCACCTATTTTGACCATCCAACCGATATTGGGTCGTCAGTTCCGGTGAATCAAACGTGCTTGGATATTTTCTACTACTTCCTATCTGATCTCGAGAAATGAAATCCAGTTTACTGCCTTGCTTGCGAGAAGTGGACGAAAACGAAGAAGGGTGCCTTCAAGATAGGGCAAAAGGTGAGCGCTCACACGTGTTGTATGCTAAATCATCTTTTTCAGGATGTAGTCCCACTTCGGCTTGTGATCCTCTTCGCAGACTACATCGTTATTTGATGCTATTTTTTATTCCCTTTCTTTCTTTCGGAACCTATTTTTGTTACGACTGCCCAGCTGCCCTGCAAGATGTGACAAAGCGTGATTTACGCCTTACGGAAACAGAATTCCTGAATCTTTATTCATTATACTCTTGGCCAAATGTAATTTTAGGCTTTGTTGGCGGTTTTCTCATTGATCGTGTGTTTGGAATTTCTTTGGGAGCCATCATTTTTTCGCTGTTTGTTCTGGTCGGCCAACTAATCACCGGAGCTGGAGCCTTGATGAACAACATCGGCCTCATGTATTTCGCTAGATTCGTTTTTGGTATTGGAGGTGAATCACTCTTTGTCGCCCAAAACACTTATGCTACTACATGGTTTCCTTCCAGTGAATTGGATTTCGTTTTTGGGCTACAGTTGAGTTTATCCGCTACCGCGTCCACAATCAGCATAAACACATTGCAGACGTTGTACAGGAGCATTGGTAAAACCTTCGGTATTAGAGGTTATGTTCGCCTGGGAGCTACCTTGATAGTCTCGGCTGTGACTTGTCTCTATTCTACTGGATGCGCCCTGATTTTGGCTTTCTTTACAAAACGGTGAGACCATTTGATACTTTAACATTATTATTTTCATGATTGATGTCATTCTTCGAACACATCACTGTCTCCGTTTCTCACTCTCCCATGACCACAGTCTTCTCGTATAAGTTACTCGCAAGTATGGGCTCACTACAGGCTAATTCACGGATGATAAAATGCGCGGCTGTACTTTATGTATGTTAGCCCACTAACTCCCGCGATGTGCGTTGTTTACTCGCCGGGAGTGTGAATGGAGCAAGAGGAGAGGTGGTCAACTGACGACATGGTCAAAAGGAGTACGGGCCCTCACTTCAAAGTTGGCCTCATTTGGAGCCTCGACTCCCTGGTTTGGGTCCAAAAAACATTGTGCACGCTTGGATACACTTGTTCACATGGCAAGCAGCCGACCTCAGTGGCGTTTGTGTGATGTTTCTTGGACCCTCTCCATCCCGCTTAGCCTCCCCTCCAATCACATTCCCATTTAGCAGGCATAACACAATTTTCTTTTGCGGCACAACAATCGGTTGTTAGGTCTCTTGAAAGATGTCCAACATAATCAACGCACGTTAGCTGAAAATGAGAAACACAGTTAATGTGCCGAAATACAAAAATATAGGATACTAACCGTTTACAATACTAAGAGTTCAGCATGCAACTAGTTTTATTATGCATTTCACATGAGATCGTAATTGGAGGGGAATCTTAAGTGGAAGTGCGTGCACAAAGAAACCCAGCACAATCATCATTGGGGTCGGCTCTTCGCCATATCAGCAAGTGTGTCCAACAGAACGTTTTCATCTCCCTTGCGACCCCAGTCAGGCAATCGGGAGGCATCAACCGACATCAACTTTGATGTAGGAGTTTTCATTTCTATCGACCAAGTTATGGTTTCGCCTCCCCTCCTCTTCTTTCATCCGCACTCCCAGCGCGCAAACAATGCACGATGCGGTAGTCGGTTGGTTGGCATGTACAAAACGTGGCTTAGCCATTGGAGCCTGGTGCAGGATATAACAGTGCTGAGCGGTTCACTCGCCGAACACGCTCCCTCCTCAGGCGGTGCTCCCACCAGACATAGGCTAAGCTGCATAGGCAGCAATGATCGAACGTGAGTAGCCTCTTTATGTTTATCGACTTGATGGGTCAGGTTTCCAACCACACAGTAGGGTTGAACGAACGGCTGCATTGTAAACTCTGCCCTTCAAGACGAGAGTGACATCGCGCCCGCGCCATAGGTGGCGGAAATTGGTAAAAGCACCTGGAGCTTTTGCTATACTGTCCGTAACCTCATCTTCGATCCCATGAGTGTTAATATAGCCGCTCAGGTACTTGAATGGTTGAGTGACTTTTAGCTGATCACCACCAAAGAGAAGGACTTTGCATTTCGGTGGAGCAAAGCATAACCCAGAACGATTGATAGCCAGTGCTAATCTGTCCAGCGCTGCTTGGCAGGGTTGCGAGCTTTCACAGATAAGGACAATGTCGCTGGCATACTCCAAGTCAAGAAGTTGCTCATTAGGTGGTAGCTCCACACCTTGTAGGTCGTGTCCAGTGCACGCTGCGAAGGATGTCTATCCGTTACTGGTGACTCAGCCTGGATGCTTCTTGCATGTCTTTCTTCTTTCCTTTTATTATGTCACAATAGCAGTGGTGTTTTCCACCTCTAGCTAACGTGTGTAATGATGAATGACGTGCTCGTACTTTATCGTAGACGATCCACCAGTGACCTTTTTCTACTTACTTGTCGCATCATACAACTAAACGCTGTCTCCTTTCCCTTTTCTCGGGACAGAAGCGTTGAACTCTCTCAGAACGTACTTAATTGGTTGTGATGAGCTCGACTGCAATGGATTTACTTGTTGTTGTTGTTGTTGTTGTTGTTGTTGTTGTTGTTGTTGTTGTTGTTGTTGCTGCTGTTGTTGTTGCATAATATTTACTAGTTGAACTGGAAAACTGAATCAATTTTCACTTTTGAACACCGGTAGTGGCATTCCTCTAACGTTTGGGTGTTGTAATGAGTGAAACGAAGTCGAAAGTCACCTATGTAGCTCAACGCGAAGGCAACCGGTCACCACACTTCTGTTGGTGAGAAGAACCACCGATGCTAAGCGCTAAGATAGTTCATTTGTATACGATGTCTAAGCTACTGCTATGATGACACCGATACACCAAGCTAGATTTGGGACCCTATTCCAATTAGCAGGGACGTAGGGAAAGGCGAGTGCGATTCGAAGACGGCGCGAATGTGTGCCGAGTTGGTCAAACAATTGCATCCAGGCCAACACAGACAGATACCTTCGATTCTTTGCATACATGGTAAAACTAGTTAGTTTAGAAGAATCTTACCATCATATCTAGCCGCTACAACATGAACTAAGAGTCTCTTTTCATGCTGGAATTTCTCGGCTTTACCATCACGTCAAGTTGATCACTGAGATTGACCACAAACTGAATGGGCATTTCTCTACAGTGGTGTCATCCAACCATATCGATTGTACGTGTGCTGTGATGTTGCCTAAACAATGACAGGAGCAGAAAATTGAACTCAAATGCGGCCGCGTCACTGATCACACCTTATATCGAACGGGGAACCTCTTGGTATATTTAATACCACAGAAAAGGCCGCATCTTATCTCACACAATCAGTGTGACTAGAAGACAACGGTAAATCTGTCATTGGTGCCAGATCCCATCCGTGTCCTGTGAGGTCTCCAACAAAACACCAGATTCCTCGATTTCTTGAGCGATGCTGTACGGCTTTCTGCACTAACTCACATCTTCATTTGCACAATTTTCCACTAGTTCCTGATGTGCTTTCGCATCTTCGTCCCATCACTTAGAGCCAGACGCATCCGGGCAGCGCACAAAGCCTACCTCGCGGCAAATAATTCATCAGGACGCAGTGATGTGACTTCGGACTCTGAACAAGCCCCTCGTGTCTCTTTGAGAAATATTATTCACTTCCCCGGAGGAGTTTGGCTCCTCTGTGTAATTTGCGTTTCGTACTACGTCACCATCCTCCCGTTCGTTGGTCTCGGGCTGGTCTTTTTTACACGTAAGTTTCTCCACATCGATGGGCTTTTTTGTTTTTCAAGTAGTCAAAAAATTGCTTTATGCATCTATGAAGGGTGAACATTCAGCTACAGCATCGCACGCGTTCTCATTAGTGTACCAAAATAGAAACCACCACGAAACTGTGTACTTAAAATGAGCTTGCTAAAAGGGAGTGGTTTGTTAGTTCTTGCACGATTGATAAGGGATAATCGTCGATCGGTGGGCTTATGTGCGGCTGTACATCAGTTTGGACTTCTTGCTTATAGTCGAAGTTGTCAAATATTCAGATAATACTAGTTGGTAGATGCAAGTGTTTCGCGTTATCTCCTCAGTACTGATTTCAATAGCTGCTATGTATATGTACACAAAGCAGCAAGTGTGAACAAACCAACCAACACCAGCTCTTAAGAAAACGACCCTGCTGAAGTAAGCGGATGACGTTGTCCTGGGTGTAAATTAATCGAACACTACCTCTTAAGTCAGACTACAAGTTATTCTTAAAGATCTCACGTTTTAATCCAAAGCAAGACATATCCTGTAACGTATCAAGCCAAGCAGAAGGCGGGTTACGTGGACTTCATCTTGGAAGATGAGACGGACTGACGGCATCAAGTGTGGTCGACAGTGACTTCATTTCCCGCTGCCAAGTTAATTTCTGCTCACCTCGAGCCTTGCACCTCCCTGCATCTGACAAACAAAATAAGACCGTCCACAGTAAGCGGTAACCGGGTATATGTACTACGTGCCCAAGCCAAAGCAACTTATTCAGTGCTATCTGTTGTTCTGAGGAAATACCCTGGTTATCACTGCCTAGTACTCGCCCAAACACATCATTCTTGCGGACATTCTGGAGTCATCCTAAACCAGCAATACTTCGTAGACAACGATAATCAAACACTTGAAGGCATCTTGGGTCCTCTGATCGGAGGGGCTAAGTCTGGCCTCCATAGATTTGGACAGCCCTCACTGTGGCCTTGTATACACGGCCTTTTAGACGGAGGGAACCTCCTTTCTGACGCCAAAGATGTAGCAGATTAAAAAAGGAAGTTCTACTTTTTGTCATGCCTAAACTGACTTCAGCTGCCAAGGTAGGCGAAGTGATCAGTTACCTCGAGTTCTTCGCTATCAAGTGTCAAGGTGTCGTCAAGTGGCTGTTGGTCCTGTAACAGTACCTTGCATTCTGAGGGTACGAAGTGCATGCCAATTGATGGGACCACTCTAGAGAGATTATTCAGGTTTGATTGTGCCTCCCCAACATTGTCAAAACGAAGGACAGTGTCGTCCACATAATCAAGATTAACTAGCCTTTCACCAGACAACACCACAACGCCTGCATCATGGGACTCCTCGAGGGGACACTCCATGATGGAGTCCAGTACGAAGTTAAACGAAAATAGATAATTCAGGCAACCTGGACGAACGCCATTTGTTTTCGGAAGAGTATTCGACAAGTCACCGTAGACCCTGACGCGGTTTGCCGTGTTCGTGTTTAGAACATGTAAAATGTTCACATATTTCATGGGAACACCTTCCCGAAAAAGCATCCCAACAGAATGGATCAATCGACTGTGTGGAACGTACTCTTGAAGTTGAGGAATAGAGCTATTGTCGGCCTACTATACGTGTGGCGCTGCTTTTGCACCTGCAGCAGAGTGACTATGTGGTCTATATAGAAAAGTCCTGGGTGGATGCCTGCCTGCTCTTCCCTACTTCTTGATTCTCATTTCTGACTGAGGTGACGAACGAGAATTTAATCCAGTAATTTTGTCGCCACCGGCGTCAGCCTGATACCCCTGCCTTTCTCAATGATCTTACCACATTCATGGACGTCATCTACTACGAAGATTTTATTTGATCACTTCCCTTGTTAGTGAATTCACCGAACAAAACCGTTAAATTCCGCATTACTGTAACGAATTCACTCAACATGATTACTTACCCATAGGCATATTTGGTTGGCGGCATCCGTTTCCGGAGTTGCCTGTCACTGTGGACTCCACGGGGACAACCACAGGACACCTGCGCCTACAGAAGGACCATAGGTGGCTTGCGCTGCACCACCCACAGCTCCATCCACACACCCCATATCCCGCGTACATCCGAAGGAATAAGACCGGGAGGCATGCGGATGGGAGCCACGTTTCATCAACGGAGCCGGCCCACACTCCTTCACAGGCAAACACAAGCGCGCTGGATTTGGGAATCAAGTGCACACAAGGCGATGGCTAGACCGTAGTCCGCTGCACACTGAGGGCATGGAACCACTCTTTGAGCCTAGCGTGGCCACGAGGACCGTTTACTCCGTCCGCTACAGCAACGAATGGCTGTCTTTTGGAGCCAGTATATGCGTGGTGCTGGGTAATGGACGGATAGGCACCTTGTCAGCACTCACATTAAGCGCAACCACACCGGGGTATATAAATCACCAGCAAATACCTAATATAAAAGTGTCCCAGCACACACTCACACGTACCACATCGACCAACTTATTGACCTGGATTATTAAATTGAATCGAAAGCGCCGCGCTGATGATGACTACGCATTTAGCATACTCATCTTCTCTTTGATGTTGGCCCAATGTGTCTGCGCTGGTTTCTTACTAAACCCGCTTGGTTGAGTCACTCACGATCGCATGTGCTACAGCACAGTGCCCTCGACGCTTGTCGCTTTCTCAACCGACGTTTGTTTTCCGCATGTAGTGGTGATTTTTACCTGGGCAACCGCCCTCTTTATATGCTCTCGCCATCGGTCCCGATCCACTACTATCGACATCTGAAATCAGCATTAGTTCGTGATAAACTCATCTTGGTCATGTCCTGGTAACGTAACTTCGGTTCTCCCACGTGCCGTTTCCCTGCACGCATTTGGCCATAAAACAGCCGTTTCGGTATCCGGGTCGCATCCATGCGGCGAATATACTCCATGCACCTCATGTGCCTCAGCGGTCCACTGCAGTAACAGAAGCCATCTACTCTTTCACCGTTTTTGTTGCTGTCTCAAGTTTCCCTTTAATTTCTTGAGTTTTGAGACACGGTTACGCCTTCATGGTTGGTGGTTCGTTTCATGTCTTTTCAAGTTTTTCTTTTTGTGCGTCGCACTGCTGTTTTTGCAAATTACGCATTGCATCTTTACATTCATCACTGTGAAATTATGCTGTAATTCCTATTTTCCTTGAAACAATCGACCTTTCACTGTTCATTTCACATCTAGGATAGCACTGACCATCATAAAGATTTTGTGGAATCTGTGCAGTGGTTAATATATTGTAAGGAAACCATTCCACTCTGTCATCAATGGCAAAGGTGATATCGGTTCCCGTGCAGTCAATTTTGTCACACACACACACACACACACACACACACACACACACACACACACACACACGATCGTTGCACACCGAGCAGTGCACGCACGAATTGATGGAATGTCAGTTGGTTTGAAACAACAGCTGAAAGCCACGTCATCCGGTTTTGAGCATTTTTCCATTGCTGTTGATGAGATCATTGACGTCATTGGAATAGCCGAGCTTGCTGTTTTCATCAAAGCGTGTGACAGCGCATTAAATATTTATGAATAACTGATTAAACTGATTGCGATACATGACACTGCAACAAGCCTGGATATCCTTTAGAGAGTAGAGCAACTTCTGTGTGGCGATGAATTCGATTTCACTAAACTTACTTGCTTATTCACAGACGGTGCTGCGAATACCGTTGGTTGACGTAATGGTTTTGCTGCCATGTTACGTACCGAAATTGCAAGATCACACCCAGGATTCTCAGATGCACATTTTCACAGCATTATTCATTAGCAATATTTGTGTTCCAAGATATAAACTTTGGATCATATGCTCAGTTTGGTCACAAAAACTGTGAACTATAACAGAGGCCGTGTACTCAACACCCGTCATTTCAGCAAGTTGTTGGAAGACATGGATAATCAGTTCACGGATATTCTATACTACACAGACGCCTGCTGGTTGTTATGTCACAAAGTGGTGAAGAGTTTTGCTTTGCTAACACAAGAAACAGTAATGATTTTGGAGATGAAAACTCAAAACACGAATAACTTAGAATTTACAATTCAGCACCAGAATGTGACATTCGCTATGGACCATTACTGCTCATTTAACTGATCTTCATTTGTATTTACAACGCAAAGAAAACCTCACCACTCACTTGTATGATGACATTGTGTGCTTCGTTACAAAACCAGGCTTATTGAAATCACTGTCATTAAAAGGAAATTGACTTCGTTTTCCTTACTGAAAACAGCTGAATGACACTGCCAATACCGAATCCGTATTTAGCTTTGCGAAATATGACAGTCACCTGGAGTTGTCGTTAAAAGGAGTTCAGGAAAGATTTCATGATTTCTCATCTTGTGGACAACAATTTGCATTGATCTCAGCACCATTCACTTTTGATGTTGCCGAGGCAGAGGAATGCGTGTAGATGGAACTACTAGAAATACAGTCTGATTTGACACTCCATCCTAAAAGTTTTGAAGGGTTCAGAAATTTTGCCACCTAAACTATGGCAATGCTGGGGTTCTACCTGTTTATGCGCAGTTATTTTCCTTCATGAAAGTAACAAAAACTTCTCGGCGAACACCACTTACTGATAAAAACTTGTCATCTCTCATCAAAGTTTTAACGCACAGATATTTCAGTCGAATATAGAAAAAATCGTCAACAAACAATAGGCGTCAGGCCTCTGGAAAATTTATACAAATGTTCAATTTGGAGTGTTGCAATGGGTTGTACAATGCATTTGTTGCTGTCACATACAAGTATATCTCAACGCTAAAAATTCAATTAATTATTCTTTTTTAACTACTTACTATTGTTACATTCATGAATTCTTTTAACCCCTGAATCATATGTATACAAATCATATCACGAACTTGAAGTATTTATAATCTTGTGTATGGTTTAATATATATATATACATATACATATGTAGGCCTGAATTACTCGTCGTGTGCGACCCTCATGTCAA